CTCTTTAGCCCTTCTTATCATTTTTTACAGCGACCCTGGCCTGGAACTTTTTTGGCAGCCATCTTCTTTATCCCCCAAGCGCTGTCCCCCCCCTTTTGTTTACACATGAGCTGATGTGTACCCTGGAGGGTGCCCCTTTTACCCAGGCCCCTTTCCACGACTAGTCACACCTGCTCAGAGCCACCCTTTCCAGCCCTCCTTTCTTTTAGGCCCCTGAGGATACAGAGTTCACCAGTGTTCTGAACAAAGCATCATATTTTCCCCAAACCTTTTTAGAATGCTGTTCTTTTAGACCCCCCGAGGATACAGCGTCCATCAGTTTTCTGAATGAAGGATCAAATTCTTCCCAAATACTAGAATATGGGGGAGCTGTGACAAGCTTCTGGTTTGGGGAGAATGGTTTGTCAGTCCTTGGTTTTTTATTCACAACCCCTAGAGCGCATGCTCCGGGTTTGTGAATGTGGGTGTTTTTTCTCACAGTTTCCTCAGGGCTTGGTGTGGCAGTGGCCGTTGAGGAACTGGAGTTGCGGTGGCGTGGTTGTTTTTTACCAGAGTCTTTTGTTTTGTCCTTGGGTTTGATATATATGAGGTTTGGCCTGCCCTGATGCTTCATCTGCACTCTTGTGCTGTTTTGCCTTGTTAAAGGTCTCAAAGCAGATTCTTGGTTCTTTGGCAGTTCTGGAGGAGGTGTCCTTGTAGCTCTAACTACAGCATTGTCAGAAAAGTTGCCCATGCCTATGGGGGGCGGGGGGAGAGGACATTTTTTTTTTTTTACAAAACTCAACTTTACTATCTTTCTCACCTACACCTATGTATTTACTTAAAATACAAAACCTCATAAAACAACCAAACCAATAAGCAGAATATATTTACTGGGCTTCATCCATCAGTCACTGATGCTGGTGATTTTTCCTTTTCAGCTGTCTTTCCTTTTTTTGTTTTGAGCTTGTTTATCCTCTGGTCTAAGGATCTCTCATGTTTTGACCGTACTGTGGAGCAAATAACATTATTATAAAACACATGAAACCATCTTGTAAACTTAAAAAATAAAATATTCATTAGGGTGTTTTTCTATTTAAAAAGTCATAGCTTTAAAACAAAATAATCCATTTCAGGCTGTACAACAAACACAAGTTTTGAGTTTATTTCTACCGCTTAAAAAACAAAAAAACAACAAAAAACCCACAAACATAAAAAAAATACATCTCATTTTGAAGAATAAAAAACCAAACTGCTTTTAAAATCCATTTTAAAACACATTTTGCACAGAAACCCTTGTTAGTTTGAAACACACCTACCACCAGTTTAAAGCCCCACAGTTTGCAACCAAATACTTTTCAATAAACCCACATGCATTTAAAAGCCACATGGTTGTTCTGTTTCCCACCCCCAATGTGTGTTGGGCCTTCAGGTTAAAGAACAAGCAAAAATGTTAGGTAGTATTACCCCCAAATGCATCAACCCCCCATTTTAAAAACACAGCACATTTGCACTGTAAAAAATCCTATTGGTTTGAAACAAACCAAGTACTTTAAAAAAACCTACACCTATGCCTTGCACAGACCCCTCACACTCAAAACAGCAGCTTTATAAACATACCATTACCATCAGTTTGCAGCCATATACTTTTCAATAAACCCACATGCATTTAATAGGCCCATGCTTGCTCTATCCCCCCAGCCATGTGTGCTTGGGCCTTTGGGTTTGTTAGTATTATTCCCCCAATTGCATCAAACCCATTTTAAAAACACATCACATTATGCACAGTAAAAAACCCTGTTGGTTTGAAACAAACCAAGTACTTCTAAAAAACCTATATCTATGCCTTGCACAGACCCCTCTCACACACAAAACCAACAGCTTTATAAACTAGGGTTACCATATTTCAATACTGCAAAAAGAGGACACTCCACGGGGCCCTGGCCCCGCCCCAACTCCGCCCCTTCTCCAAATTCCCTGCCCCAACTCCGCCCCCTCCCCTGAGCACCCCGCATTCCCCCTCCTCCCTCCCGCCTCCTGGCTGCGCTGTGGAGAGCGGCGGGAGCCGGGAAAGTTGGAGCCCGGAGAGGAGGCGGTCCCCTTACCATGCCTCCCTATTTTCCTGGACATGTCCGGCTTTTTGGAAATTCCTCCCGGATGGGGATTTGAGGACCAAAAAGCCGGACATGTCCGGGAAAATCCAAACGTATGGTAATCCTACCCCAGAGCCACCTCCCGCCCGACTGCTGGACCCCCCAGGCCTCACCCCAGAGCCGCCTCCCGCCCGCCCGCCAGACCCCCCAGGCCTCACCCCAGAGCCGCCTTCCACCCATCCGCAGGACCCCCCCAGGCCTCACCCCAGAGCCACCCGGTCTCCACAGGGCTCATCCTCAGCCTTCTCCTGCCTCAGTGCCCCCTCTCCTGAGAGCCTGGCCTCCGCAGCCCCCCCCTCCACAGCCCCTGCCTCAGAGCCCCCCACCCCCTC